AAGGGAAAGAGAAGGAAAACGCAAGAAAGCGCAAGAAAATAGTTTCTGAGAGAGAGAAAATGGAAAGAAGATTGCGAAGGAGGAGTAGGAGGAGGAGAAAGGGAAGGTTGTGAAGGAGATATAACGGTAAAGGACAGAATATTCGAAGGGTATTGTTGGAATATCCTTTTATTTTCCCAGAGTATATTTTGGGTTTTATTCCTTCCCTATCTCTGGAGATAGAGTAGTAGAAATTGAGAGCCGTTTATATCCTAAAAATATTTATTTTTTAATTTTGGGTGGTTTATATATTTTTTTTCTTTTTTATTTTTTAGAGTCTTATTTAGTAATAGAGTGTAAATAATAGCACATTGATATTTGTTCAGTTCAATATTGTAAGTTTTTATCAAGTTTGGTAAAAAAAAAAAATCTTAATCTCTTAATATCACGTAAGCCTGATGCGATTTGACGTTTATAAATTGTGCATCAAAAAGGTATTTTTTATTGAAGTTTTCTAAATTAATACGGCAGCACACGTTTTTTAAGGAAATTTTTGATGTAATTAAATTAAAATAATAATGAAAAAACACAAACCTGATAATTTACTATACAAATTTTTAAAACTGAACTCTACTATAGAGTATTTTTACATGTTTTAGCGTAAAATTCTCCTTTTCTATCTTTTATGACAAATTTTTCCTTTTTTTTAAATTTAATATTAATTTTGTTAAGGATGCTTTAGGACAGAGTATGCGTGGGACAGAGTCGCTTTCTCAAGTGGCTCGGCTAAAACTATGGAAGCCAATGAGCTGACTGCAAAATGGGGAACTTGGGACAGAGTGTATATATTTTATATATATATATATATATATATATATTAATAATTAGTTTAATATCCAAATTGGTGGTTGGAACACCACTATCTTGTATCTCTTCACACCCTCCTTTTTGAAATGCAATGCAACATGACAGTTTGTTTATGGATACTTCAGTCTCCAACTTGGCTGGTATTATAATAGGGAAAAAAAAAAACAAACAAAATGCAAAAAAATAGTGTCATGTTGAATAAACTAATACTCCAATTTTCTCCCAACTCATTTGCTCTCAAAAATAACTCTCCACTAGTTTAATAACCATATCCGTTTAGTATATTTTCTTTTTATAAGAAATGAACGGATATGATAATTTGCATTGTTAATAATTTGGTTTTTGTTAATAAGGAAATTTTGTTCCAAACGTGAAATGTGATATTTAAGATAACAAAATTTATATTGAAATGCTAAGGTCACTATTTATGTCACTCTTTACATTTACAATTTGACACGTGAACTTTACTAACATGATATATAATTATTAAATAAAAAACGTGATAGTAGAGTCTACGTGTCAAATAATAAATACAAAGAGTGACAGAATACATGATGTTAGCGTTTCTCAAACTTATAAGCTTCTCCGCAACATTCTCAATGTTTCGTTTATGTACAAAGCTTATGTTGGACTCCGAATCAAATTCGGATGCGGAAGCGTGGTGGTGCGGGGAAGGGAGGGGGATCGTGTATAACAAAAATTTTCATAAAACTTTTGAGATACTCTATAGATTATATTAATTTATGCACGAATAAATTAATCTCATTAACTTATATATATCAAGAACTCAATCAGGAAAAATACATTGAAGCCGACTCGGATGATAACTTGAGTTCTTTGACCACGAACAGTCATTGCTCCAATATTTGTGTTTAGAAAACCAATGTCTTCCACGTCAATTTCTAGAATCCACGAAGACGTGTGTGTGGGCACACATGAGACAAAACGGGTTACAATAAACACTCGAATTTCCACAAACACCAACGCATGCACGATATGGAATTTTTGAAGAAAAATTTTTTCCTTCCTTTCTCTCTTGAGAATTTCGGCCAGCCTTAACTCTTAGGGCAGAAAAATTGTTTCCTTCTTTCTATAGAGAAATTTAGGCTACATCTAAAATTACGGCAAAAAACCATTCCGAAAATTGTCTCAAAAATAGTATTTATAGAGTAGAAGTCAAACTTCTAGAAGGAATCCAATCTCTATCTCTAAGATAAAGCTTGTTAATTATCTCCTATTTGAATTTTAAACAAAATCTCATCTTTTCCTCTATCCAATATGGCCGGCCATTCTAAAGGGATTCTCATCCCTGTATGGTGCCAATATCAGATAAGGAATGAAGGAAGAGAAAATCATCCTTTATCCTATAGTCTAATTTTGACTCAAATTCAAATTCAAATTTAAGTCAAACTTAAATTAATTTGAATTCTAAATTGAACAACTTATGAAATA